CTGCCCTCCCAAAAGTAAAAATGATGTGTTTTTAATTTTTTTTCACCAATTTAATTTTTAGCTTCTTAGAGTTTTTTTTTTCTTTCTAAAAATAGATTCTGAAAATCAAACCAAATATAACTTTATAATCAAGAAAGTTTTAACATTATTCATTAAAAAAAAATATCATTACATTTTAAACAACATACAAGTTAACTAATACAAAATAAGTTGTATAATGACTTTGCCATTGAAATGGACTGTTCGCAAAAGAAATATTTTTTCATTGTCCTTATTTGAAACAAAAATTAAAATTCAGGGTTAAATGTTAGATTTTTGTAATTGGTAATCCCGTTTGACAAAACTCCTTTCAGTTGTAATTTTATTCGATCTTTTATTTTAGTGAGGCTATGAATATTTAGATTCGAATCCAACCCGAATTATGCATATACAAAGGAGTTTGTGATCTTAATCCTATCATGTTTGTGATCTTAATTCGAACTCGGTTGATTGTGCGCTTGAGCCGTTGATTGTGCGCTCGAGTGAAGATTCAATCTTTTCAGAAATTTTACTCACCTACAAAAGTACTGGGAGTTGTATTTTTATGCTCGAGCGGCCTTTCCTGCCCTCGAGCATAGATCTTTGTTCTAAAACACGCATTTTAGTCATACCGCTCGAGCGTTCATTCTTGAGGCCGCTCGAGCATAGATCCTTGTTCTGAAGCACGCATTTTACTCATACCGCTCGAGCGTTCATTCCTGCGCTCAAGCGGAGATCGCGATTCTGTTTGCTATAAATCTACGATTAATTCAGTTTCTAGGGTACAGCTTCAAATCTTCTTCTTATGTAATAAGGTTTTCATCTGGAGTTTCTTTTCTTGTGACCTTTGATATTTGTGAGAGTTTATATTATGAATTGAGTGGATTATATCAAAGGATTTGTTTATTTTGTTTTATTCACAAAAGAGAGAGTTGTTCTTCGGTGGACTCTGTGGAATTTAGGCTCAAAACTTTGGTGGATTCCGTAGTGGCTCATTGTTGTGGATTCGACATCATTGTTGTGGATTCAACGTTGAGCAAAATAATTCCGAGGTGAAGACGGTGGTGGGGTGAAGACGGTGGTGGTCGAGGCACATTGGAGTCGGTTCAATTTGTGGATTTGCTAGATAATTGAGAGTACACTTGTGTAATTTTCTTTTGTCTTTTTAATAGATTGTTTTGTGGCTTTTGCTTGTAATTTTTTTTTATCACAATTGGAGGCGTTCCAACTGTGATTTTTTTACGTTAAATCGTTGTATTGATTTGTCTTTGATTGTTTGATTGAAATTGTTATTTATTATTTAAAATTGATACATAATCACAAATCAATATCTCAGGGATTTTAGTTTTTTTTTTTAAAATGTATCATAATTAAAAAGTTAGGGACCGAAATGATATAGATCTCAAGGTACAGTGACTGTTAGTGTAATTAACCCTTTATTTTAAGTAACAAAATTTCTGTTTGCATATAAAAAACAAATTATTTACATAAATTTGCACAGAAGAGAGCTGGTCCCTCTTCTGTGCAATTATCATAGTTGTTTTAAGTAAACAAACTTTGGGAAAATAATCACCCTTATGTTTCTAGATTTCAAAATAAAAATAAAAATAAAAAGCTTTATTTTTGTGTTCCTATTTGCCTATTGGTTAGCTTGGAACTCTTTTAGGTTACTCTCCATTCTTGCACATTACTAGTGATAGGGAAAAAAAAGTTGCAGTTATTATTCCTTTTAATTCCCAGACCTTTCTTGTGGTAGTTGTTACTGTAAACACTTTTCTAAAGGGTATACTGTATGTATTCTATCATAAGGCATGTAATATAAATAAGGTAAAATTTATTTTACCCTTTTGTAATTCGGGATGATTCAAATATAATTAGAAAGTTTTCACATGATTTTAAACTTAAGTGCAATTGTTACTCCATTAACTATAGATGTAAAATGATTTTAAAGCTTTCAAATCCTATACTTTTTTTTTGTTATTTTCTTTCTTTCTCCTTTATCTTACACACAACTTATAATTTCTAATATTAATTCAATTAAATCACAACTAATTGTAAAATTTTAATTAGTTATTGTAATTCTTAAATTTTTAATCTAATTTTAATTTAATTTTATTGTGAATCACAATTAATCCTAAATCCTTAATTATTTATTATAATTCCTAACTTTTTAATCTAATAATATTTTGAATCGCAATAATCTTAAATCTTTCAATATTTATTGTAATTCCTAACTTTTTAATTTAATAATATTTTTATATCACAATTAATCATAAATCCTTAATTAATTATTATAATTCTTAACATCTTATTCTGTTTTTAATTTAATTATAAATGTATCAATCCTTCATTATTATTTATTTTCTATTTTTAAAGGTTAATTACATTTTACGTTCCTATGATTTGGTCCAAAAGTAACATATTCTGTTAAAATTAACAGTGCGTGTCTAACACTTGCATACTTCAGTGCGCTTAACAAGGTGAGTCCAAAAAAGTAACCCTTTTATCCTTTTTTTTCTTTCATTTATTTATTTATTTATTTTCTTTTTTCTTCCTATTCATCCACGACTATAAGAAAATACACATTCGACTATTAAAATATTAATTACCAAAGTTTCATTTTGGGTCACCGAAAGTCAATGATGACTAAAAATTTGTCCCCTAGGTAGTCGGGTTTACCTTATCAGCGATAACATTGACGACTAAAATTTGTTTAGTCGCTAATTTACATCTTTAGGCTACTAAAATTTTATTAGTCGCCAAAGGTAACCTTTTGGCAATTAAAATATCATTCGAAAGTTTTCGCATAAAATGAATTCAGTTATTAGTGACTAAAAGTTTTAGTTGCCAATAAATTTTTGTCACAAATAATAATACATTTAGTGACTAAACATTTTAGTCGCTAATAATAATAATATATTTAGCGACCAAATAGTTTAGTCATTGTTAGTTTTCAGGACTAAACATTTTAGTCACCAAAAGACTAAATATTTTCGATTCATTTTGTTTTATGTCCAAACATTGTAGTCGCTAAAGGATGCCGTGTTCTTTTGTGACTAAAATATTTAGTCGGCAATAGTTTCTTCCTTCATTCTAATTTTGCTGGTGAAAATACTAGAAGAATTATATTTTATTGATAAATAATGCAAAAAAAATGAGATACAAATAGATCAGGTTGAGGTACAGATATCTCGTTTTCTTTAAGGAGATCAAGGCCACTGCGGTAGGAAGAACCCAAATACCGATGCAACAGTCACTAAACTCTGACTTGTCCCCTCCAGGATACAACAGTCTGACCACTTGTCTTATGGTTCAAGCCAACTCTGCATAAGATGGTGAACCCAAAACTCCACCAAGAAAAACACCTTTCTTTGGCTAGTAATCTCTCAAGTGTTAAAATAGTTGGTCTAGAAATGAGTAGAAGAGAGGAACAATATATAGGCCACTAGGACTTTACAAATTACACAAAAAATAATGACCATAAAACTAGAAAAAAATGGAGAGTCTCAAAACCTCCAAATATTAACTCACCACCAAGCTTATGACCTTCCAATTAACCTCTACTCATGGACAAGACAAAAGGTCACCAAAATAAATAAATAAATAAATAAAATGGTCCAACAATCCCCCACTCATTTTAATATTAATAAGGACAAGAGAGATTACCAAACAAAGATAGACTAATATGCATCATGAAGGTGTGTTCTGGATTGAACTTTCATTAATGAAACAAGAACCTATACTCCAAAGTCAGTAGTGGTCTCAGACTTGAACTATGACTACTTAGGAAAAATAAAGTATTACTGCTCACACATAATGATCCAGTTGTTGACATGAGCTTTAAACAGCCAACACATTACGACCTTGTGCTAATCTCGGTTTTCATGAGCATATTTGAGAATAAGCATTGTTCTCATAGAAAACGGCCCTACTTCCATGCTCACATAGGTGAAATCTGTCAAGGATGTTCCTGTAATTTACACATCCCATTCAACAAGAGCTACAAAATTTCATTAAAGGTATAAAGACTTAACCCTCCGACATTACAAGGCAAATGCACTTGCATCATAGGGATAGACAACAATATATTAAGGAGTGCATTTTTTACAACCACCATATAATTCGTTCTTCCCATTGAACCTAGTTACATGATCTTTGGTCCCTAGGTTGGGTATCCTCATACATGGTTTATAATTTTATAGGCTTCAAACCCATTGCCCTCGATGTATTCCAGACCCTATCTCACACGAAGGCCTTGGTTAACTGATCTGCAAGATTATCACAAGATTTTACATAATTCATAGTTATGATGCCATTGCTCAAATAGGATCTCACATTACTGTGTTTCCTTCTAATAGGTCTGGATTTACTATTACAAAAATAGTTGTTCACTCTACCAATAGCAGCAGTGCTATCACAACGAATTAACACAGGAGGAATTGATTTTCCCCCAAAAAAAGGATTTCATGTAACAAATCTCTCAACCAATTCACTTCCTCACATGCTGAAGCTAATGCTTTAAGCTCAGCTTCAATTGTAGAATTAGCAATTATAGTCTATTTTTTAGACTTCCAACATATAGCACCACCACCCAAGGTAAAAATAAAACCCAAGGTAGAGAGAGAATCACCTGAAAAATTGTTCCAATCGGCATCACTATATCCCTCAAGTACCGCTGGATACTTGTTATAAAACAAACCATAATTTTTGGTACCAGATAAATATCTCATAATTCTTCATATGGCTAGCCAATGATCTCGACTTGGCTTGCTAGTAAACCTGCTAAGTACTCCAACAATATATGCAATATCAGGTCTAGTACAGTCAGTAGCATATCTCAAACTACCAATCATGCTAACATATTCCTTTTGATTAATCAAATCTTTTTCATTTGTTACGGTAGATAAATGTATGCTTGCATCAAAAGGAGTAGCAATATGTTTACAGTTTAGAAAATTATATTTCTTTAAAATTTTCTCAAGTTGTGTAGGCTTTCACAGCCAAGTGATTCTTGGATTTGTTGGTTCTAGGGCCTCGATTTTGTTCAGTCAATGCATCTGGACTTCCATTCACATCATTCGATACTCTACCATAGTGGAAGTTGGATCGAATCTTTTCCACTGCAGCCCCTCCATGAGCACTTGACCCAAAATTAGATAAGCCATTACTAGAAGTGAGCCATTTTTAGTTGGTTACGATGAGACAAAGCCTTCCCATGTGAAATGTTATCTACAGCTTGAGCACCCCTACCCTGTAAACACAAAAGTTAGAAAACAAACTTGGTAAAATGATGCCAAAAGGCAATAAAAGACCATGATTGTAAAAACTTGCTACTTTTGGCCAAGGGGGTGCCAAGGAGCGTGTCTGATTTGAAGCAGGCTTTGGGGCAGTCTGTAAAGTTGCAGATGCTGGAGACAGATTATTGTGACCTGGCCCATCAGTTCTATGTGCAGTAAATACACCAGTATCTAAGAAGGGTTCAGTTGTACTACTTGAGATCATCTCTGGCCCAGATTGGATGACCATGGGGAACCCAGAAGGCGAAGACAAAGGGTTTTCATAAGATGGGATGGCATAATACTGTTGCGTCCCTACAAATGGGCCATCAACTCCTAACATAGCACCAGGAATGTAAGGGTTGTATTGGTTATATGGAGACTGTGCATATCCATAGCTAGGTGTATAATATACATAAGGCAAACTTTCAGTTTGTGCACCCTGAAGAAGAAGAAAAAAAAATCCATTAAGCAAAACTACAAACAATATGGAACTTGTGTTTGAAAAACAAAAAGCAAGAGATGATACAAACCGTGTACTGAACTTCTTGACCATCCAGACCAAAAATCCTATGGTGGTCATCCCAATCGCTGGGTGATTCAAATCCTGATCATATCGAGTCAATGTAACACATAAATGAGACAATACAAATTAGCATCCTAATCTAAAATAGGATAGTGGATAAAAATTTACCTGTACAGATGTACCCATAATTGGTGGCAGTAGGGTAATACAAGCCTTGTTCAACTACAAACTCCGGGGCTCCTTCCTTGTACATGGCGTCAAGTTGTTTAACAGGTGGACTTGTAAGATGTGCATTTGGCTCGGTGCCTTGAATCTAAAAGGCCAAGACATGAGATTTGATTATATATTCTGTTATAAACAAAATGACAAATACACACAATGAAGACTCAGCCTTGCCAAACCGTTCAAAATAGGTCTTCATTTGATTGAAAGAAAACAATTGCTGAGGAATTACCAGATATGTTTCCATATTTCCATCAAAAACATTATACATTTCCATCCCAGGGACTGCCACCACTGTGAAACAGATTTGATATGGTGTAAGCAAACACAAAACTCCAATATATAACAACTAAGAATTTTTAAAATTAACATCAAAGAAAATGTAGACAAGATGATTTTCATTTTCATTACAACAAACAAAATGCAAGAGGAACCTCAATTTCAAATGTAAGGATATAAATCAAAGAAAACCTCATATTCACATCCAAAAAATTGCCTAAAATAGCTTCATATCTACAACACCAACACCATACTAAGTAGATAAACATATGTACACAATAAATAAGCATTGAATATCAACCAATAGAAAGAGAAGACAAAAAAAAAAAAACAGAAAAGAAGAAGGTCCACAACACAAACATACATGAATCCCCAAATGCGAATTTTTAAAAATGCTACAGAAAATAAGCAATTTTTAAGGCCATTCCTTTCACCTTCATTCTTTACCATAACTAAATGGAACCCCGTATATAAATTACCATTCAACACAGGTGAAAATGTCAGCTAAACTCAACAATCAGACCTTTCAAAAGATTAGGGCTCGCACACAAATTTCAGAAAGCCTCAATGAAATATGAGACGTGTATGTGTGTGTATATATATGGTGTGTGTGCAGATGGAATGAAATGAGGATTACCTTACAGAGTTGATTCAAGGCATGCTTGAGACCGAGAAAGTCCTCTGAGAGCTAAGACGGAGAAGGTATATAGATAGAGTTGGGGGTTTAGAGCAACATCTCGGTCTTCAAAATGGACACGCCTTGGGAAACCCTAACCGTAACACACCAAAATAGACAGAGAAGAAGAGAGACAAAAAGAGGGCTCTGTGTCTTGAAAAAGGGCGGTGTTGTTGGGGGAAAAATTAAGAGAAAACTGTGAGACGCGGAGAGAGAGAGAGAGAGAGAGAGAGAGAAATTCACTCACACTATACGAAGCGTTTTGTGTTTTTAGGGTAAGAATAAATATTGACATCTCAAATTTTAAAGTTTTAAAGAAATTTATAGTTTTGTGATAAGGAGTGAGATTTGAGATTTATTTGGGGAATTCAATTTTTTTGGTAATAAAATTATTTTATTTTAAAAAAATAATTTTTTAAAATTATTCTTTGATAGTATATTTTTTGGAGAATATCAAGATTTCTCTGATAAATTAGATAAATCTGTTTTAGAAACGGATTTCTATTATAATATGAGCAACTTATTTACTCTAATAGATAAATCTGATAAACTAGATAAATCTAGGTAACTAAGATTTCTTTTATCTTCATATTCCCATGATTGCAGGCTATTTTTTTTAATTGCAAATAGTTTTCACTAAAATAAAAGTTAATTTTCTGTGATCAATGAAAAATATTTTTCTACGGCCCATTTTTTTTTTGTTATTAAAAATCATGAACTATTTTTTTGTGATAGAGGAGAGGGAGTGGCAGTAGTGGTGAAGGTGGTGGATAAGAGATGATGGTGGTGGTGGTGGTGGTGGCGGCGGCGGCGAAGGAGATTAGTGGTGAAGTTGTGGTAGTGGTAGAGTAGATGAAGTGGCAAGGGTGAAGGAGAGGTAATGGTAGTAGTAGTGGCAGTAGTGGTGAAGGTGGTGGATAAGAGATGATAGTGGTGGTGGTGGTGGTGGTAGCGAAAGAGATTAGTGGTGAAGTTGTGGTAGTGGTAGAGTAGATGAAGTGCCAAGGGTGAATGAGAGGTAATGGTAGTAGTAGTGGCAGTAGTGGTAGTGGTGGCAATGGTAGTCGTAGATGTGAAGTGGCAACAATGGTAGTAATGGTGGTAGTGGAATGGCGTTTGCAATAGTGGTGAAGGTGGTAAAGGAGATGGGTGGTGAGAGAGAGAGAGTGAGTGAAAGACGGATAGAGGAGAGAAAGAGAGAGAGAGACAAAGACAGAGTGATGAGCGAGAGAGAGACAAAGTGGTCGCTAAAAGTGCATTTTCTTGTAGTGGATAGATAAATCGAGAGGGAGCTCAGTAAATAGAGAAGACAGAATGGAGAAAGTGAGCAACGCGAACACAGTGAGAGAGAGAGAGAGAGAGAGAGAGAGAGAAAGAGAAGAGAGAGAGAGAGGGACAAAAAGATAAAGCGATAGAAAGTAAGAGACAGAAAAAGAGACAGAGAGAGAAGAGAGATGAACGAGAGAGACAGAGAGAGAGATAGAGAGAAGAGAGATGAGCGAGAGAGACAGAGAGAGATAGAGAGAGATAGAGAGATGAGCAAAGAGACAGAGAGAGAAAAGAGATGAGAGGAGAGATAGATGAGTGAGAGACATAGAGAGAGAGAGACAGATAGACAAAAAGAAAAGAGTGATGAGTGAGAGAGAAAAAGAGAAAAGAGAGAGGAAGATGAAAAAATGGGTGAAAAGATATAGACAAAGAGAGAGAGAAAGAAAAAAAGAGCGAAAAGAGATAAACGAGAGAGAGACAGAGAGAGATGAGCGAGAGAGATAAAGAGAAGAGAGATAGAGAAGAGAGACAGAGAGAGAAGAGAGATGAAAGAGATAGACAGAAGAGAGATGGACGAGAGACACAGAGAGAAAGAGAGAGAGACAGACAGACAGACAGAGAAAAGTGATGAATGAGAGAGAGAAAAATAAGAGAGACAGAGACACAGAGAGAAAGAGAGAGACAGACAGACAGACAGACAGATGAGTGAGAGAGAGAGAGAGAGAAGAGAGACAGAGACAGAGAGATAGGAAGATGAAAAAATGGGTGAAAAAGTTCCGTGTCTAAAGCCTCATTTTCTAGTAGTGAGTCGTCTCTATCATTCATGAGTAGAATAGAGGCGCGGATTTGGGAATTGTATATTTTATATAAAAATCAAATTGAAATATTTTATATAATCACACCTATTTAGGGAGTGTGATTAAATATATATATATATATATATATAATTACACTTATTTAAAAAGTGTGATTAAAAAGTAGTAATGTATATATAATCACACTTTGATTAAAATGTGTGATTAAAAAATATATATATAATCACACTTATTTAAAAAGTGTGATTAAAAAGTAGTAGTGTATATATAATCACACTTTAATAAGAAGGTGTGATTAAAAATGTATAAATAATCACACTTTAATTAGAATGTGTGGTTAAAAAATATATATATAATCACACTTATTTAAAAAGTGTGATTAAAAAGTAGTAGTGTATATATAATCACACTTTAATTAGAAGGTGTGATTAAAAAAATATATATATAATCACACTTAATTGAAAAGTGACATAAAAAATAAATATTATCACACTCAATCAAATTAAGTGTGATTAAAATATCAATCTAATTTTTTTTATCACACTTCCAATAAAAGTGAGATCTTTTTTTTTGTCAAAGTGTGATCTTTAACTATTTTTGTAGTAGTGGGAATGATTTGGAAAGGAAAAGAGAAAATGTATACGAAATTAGGTGAAATATAGGAGTGAGGATCCTCTCCTTGCAGCTTCCGTGCTTGCGCCCGTCCTTGCAGGCTTTCGGATCTACTTTTAGGCCCAATTTTGATAATCCGAACCGTTCATATTTTATGATTTATTCAGTATATCATACCTGTAAAAAATCAAGTTGATCGGATATCAGAAAGCATATGTTCGAAAAACTGTTTATTAAATTCTTTAAAAAATAGTGTTTAGTTCAATTTTTCAAACACATACTTTCTGATATCCGATCAACTTGATTTTTTACAGGTATGATATACTGAATAAATCATAAAATATAAACGGTTCGGATTATCAAAATTTGGCCTAAAAATAGACCCGAAGGCCTGCAAGGACGGACGCAAGCACAAGCTTGCAAGGAGAGGCTCCTGACTCGAAATATAGGTATACTTTATTCATATTTCACCTACTTTTTTCATTTTCCTTTCTAAATGCCTTCTCAAATCCCTCAATTAAACACAATATTAGGATAATCATTGATCTCCAACCTGATTAAGGGACTAGATGCAACGATATTAATAAGTCTCAACAACTCCATCCTTTCCGATTCAAATAATTCTCATCTAGGTAGCAAATTCCACCCCCCGAATTTATTTAGGGTATGTTTGGAATGTCGGAATGGTTGGAAATTTAAAAAGAGTAAAGAAAAAAAAAAAATAGCTTTATTTTAGTCAAATAATACAAAGTACCGTGTAGTTTAGTTTTTAAATTAATAGTTGGATCAAAAAATAAAAAAAACATGTTTAATTTATTAATTTTTAAAACTCTTTTCAAAATTATTTTTTTTCTCCCCTCCCTCCTTCTCTTTTTTGTTTTTATTATTAATAAATCAATTAATCATTTTTTTCTCTCTCTTCTCATTAAATTTTTTTTTTACAGATCATCACTAAATTATTTTCAAAACTCATAACCAAACAAAATTTTAATTTTCAAAACTTTTTTCTTATTTTCAAAACTCATAACCAAACAAAATTTTAATTTTCAAAACTTTTTTCAATAACTTATCTTTCTAAATATAACTCAAAACTCAAAACTTTTTTCAAAAACTAAACCAAACGGAGCCAACATTACTTATAACCCTCACTACAAGAATTAACACTTTTGGCAACAAAAAAATTGGTCGCTAAAAGTCTATTTTTGGTCGGCAAAAGTTATCCGCGACCAATTTTTTTTGTCGCTAGTTTGGTCGCTAATTGAGGGTCGGCAAAAGTAATTCGCGACCAAAATTTTCGTTGGTCGGGAAAAGTTACATAAATATGTAAAATTTACTATATTTTTTAAAAAAAATTTCCATAAGAGTCCTCCTAGATCTATCATTGGTAGATTATATGATTTTTCAGTTCCACAATACTGTGAAATTCATCACAAGTTGTAACGTAATTATTTGATTCATTTTTAGACTTTTTTTTTTTTTTTTGATCGGCTCATTTTTAGACTCTTGTGCATAAATTATTCATAAAAAGTCTTAATTTAATCATATATATTTGGGTTGCATGTATAAAACTAATGGTCATGTTTTTCAATGATCCTAAGATTGCTTGGAGAATAAATCATCCTTGGCGACGAGTCTGCGGTTGTGATAACATTGATGACAAGGTGTGCGTTTAATGGTGGGATTTTGATCCTCCTCGTTCATGGAATGAAGATTTTTATTTTATTTAATCACATTGTAACACATTATTAAAATTTAAAATTAATGTTCAATATCTATCACATGATTGTAAGGATTAAAATTTTTATTAATTCTTTTTCAATTTAAAAAAAGAGTTAATTGGTGAAAAGTCTGAACTTATAAGGACTATATCAATTTTTATTAATTTAATTTTTTTATAACAATTAATAATAAAATAAAATTCTTCATTAATGGCGGCTTAACTAGTAGCCATTATGAGGAAATTTTTATAGTGTACCCTTAAAAAGTGTGTACTATATTCACCTTATTGCATATTTTTGTAGTGCATGTTACGTATTTTTGTAGTAAATGTTAGGTATATTTTGGGTAGGGTCACAACAATTTATGGTTCAAAAATGAAATTACATATTTTATAGTAATGTTACAATTTTTTGTATCTAAACATTTTTAATAAAAAAAAAAATGTGTAACATTATCACAAAAATATGTAACATTAACACAAAATACATAGTTTATTATTGAACCACAAATCTAATAAGAAATATATTTAATATTTACGATATACCTGCCCTTGCAATGGGATTTATTCATATTTGATATGAGGTTATTTTCAAGGAAAAATTAGTGAAACATTTCTTTCTAACTTGTGGTAGTAAGAGAGGTTCAATATATTTTTTTCTTATTAGTTAAGGTTATTTAATAATATTTTTAGACAAATTTCAGTTTGTTACAAATTTCTTAGTGGCGAACTGAAATTTCTTTTTGAAGAACTAAAATTTTTCTATGAAGACAAATTTATCTATGAAAATATTGAGAGACCCAACTATTATGAAAATATTACATATTTTTTATATTATAAAATTTTAATTTCAGAAATTTTAAACTAAAAATCCCTATTTCAAACTACGCAAACTTGCATGAAAATGTACTCCTTAGTCAAAGTAAAATTTTGGAATAAAATAGGTCCACTAACTGAGCTATAAAAATTAATAAAGTTATTATTCTGGAGGAGTTTCAAAAAATTATTACATAATAGTAAAAAAAATTATAATTTTAATTATTAACATTCATAATTTTTTTTTATTTTTTATAAATTTTTTTTCTAGCAAACTATGGTGTGTAATTCTCCGATAAAATCATATAGGCACGTTGGTGTACTTGTGAGAAAAATAATCACAGTTTCATCACAACTACATCAGTTTGTTTCGGTTCCGATTCGTAGCTCGAATTTTCCGTGGCTCGAGTGGTTCGAAATCCCAAAACGATGTCATTTTAGGATGTTTTTTTGATTATCTTCGGTTCCGATTCGTAGCTCGAATTTTTCGTGGCTCGAGTGGTTCGAAATCCCAAAACGATGTCATTTTAGGATGTTTTTTTATTCTCTTACCAGTAAGATAATATTTTCCGTACCATTCGGGCCATTCGAGCCTCACTTTCTCGAGGTACGGAGCATTTTCCTTTTGTTTTATGTTATGACTGACCACCTAAAATATAAGGAGACTTACATTTTTATTCCAATTATATTTGATTGTAAGATTAAAAGTTAATGCCGGTGTTTGGGAAGTGGCTTTTTAAAGATTTTTTAGTTTTTTAACTATTTTAATAGATTATTTTATTTTTTGTATTTTGAAAGATGGGATGAATTTTTTAAGAATTACCATATTGAAAAATATATTTGAAATGATAATAGAATGTAAATTGACTAAATTGCTCGTAAAGATATTTATAAATTACAGAAGGCACATGTCCACGTGGCCGTATTCATACTGCCACCGTTGTCCTGTGTTTGATGGAAGGTGCAAACATTTGTTTGCAAAGAAACAAATGAAGTTACTGTTAGTTTGACGTATAAAAATTAATAAAATTTTTTATTTAATTGAAATTTTTATCTGTTTCTGCAAAAAATTTAAAACATTTGTTTGCAATCATTTATTTTAATTTTTACATATAAAAATTAATTAAAATTTTGTTTGGTTTAGTGAATTTGGGAAATTATTTTTTGAAAATCACTTTTTATCTCCTATACATCAATCAATTACTTTTTTTCACTTCTCTCTCCTTCTCAATCACTTTTTTTCTCACACACATCTACTCAATTACAATAAAATTATTTCCAAAACTCCTATACTTCAAAACTATTTTCAAAATATACAATCAAACAAACCAAAAAAATTTCTAAACTCGTTCTCCAGAATTTATTTTTAAAATTTATCTCTCAAAACCAAACTGAACAAGGCCTAAGTTTTTATTCGATTTTTTTTTGTTCCAAAATATTTGTATCTTTTTAAAAATTAATTTTAAAAATATATGAATTTTTTATTTTATCCTTCTTTGAAATTCATTACTACTACAAAATATACAATGATGACAATGGCTATTTAAAAAAAAAAAGGAAAAAGAAAAGGGGAAATGGTGAATTTTAGATAATTTAGTTAAGTTAGAAAAGAAAATTTTATAGAAATAGACAAATGAGATCAATGAAATGTTTTGAAATGTAGTTATTTTTTATGTTGTGCAGTGTGGTACATTTGTAGTTATTTTTTTATTGAAATGTTTTGAAATGAACATAACTTATATAAGTGAGAGTTTACTATCAATAATTTTTGTAACAAGTACAAGTTGTCGTGAAACTTTCATGATTTATTACGTAAAATAAAATTTAAATTGGTACATACCGATTTAAGCTTTTCCCACCACTCTTCCGGCGTTGTGAACAACCCGGTTTCCCTGTCAAACCCAATGTCTGTGACACCCTTACTGTTATCCATCAACTTGTTCCAAGCCTGCCATTCCTTTTTCAAACTGCTGTACTTGGTCTTCAATTGTTTCATTTCATGACGTCTACCCGTGGGCTTAGCGAATTTCAGTGCAATTTCCTTATACCCTGTTATGGTTATGGTTGTACCTACCTGCTAGCCCGCTAATATTTCATCCCTAACACACTCTAGGAAGATTTATGTGGCTGCACTGTCCCAGTTCGCCTTATGTGCATGATCCAAATCATCAACAAATCCTTTAGTAACTGATGGGCCAACCCCTTTATTTTTAGACGGGGTACGAGGGGACAACCGTGTTGCAACCATTCGACTAATGCGAGAAGACGTATTGTACACATTAGAACCCAGTTGATGAATACATTTCAGACAATAAACTATGACCCATATGCAAAAGAGAACTTTCACAAAAGTTTAACAAAACTAATATAATAATTACTAGCAGCATATAGCGTTCACATAAAAACGATCACAATGCAATTACTTGTTCAAAACATTACTTCTTCAAAACATTACTTATGTACAAGGGTAATGATTTACGAGGTTTACATTCGCAATAATAAGATTATGACCATGATGCACAATACACAAATCACTGTTTTCATTACATACAAAGTATTAATAATGTGCACGACATCAGCCCGTAACTGCATGACATCGGTTGTTGATGAGTCATGGTCAGGGCTCCGTCTCCCTGATTCGTCACACCAACCAATGCAATTAATACATTGCTGATGAATAAGAAACGCAACACTTACTAGTGATGGGAATTACAGTTTGCAAACAAATGGAGTGAGAAATAATCATTTGTTATAACTCACCATGGGCTGGGGCAAACATAATATGCACGGCTAGGATTTTTGTGAGATCTTGATACATTCACAAAACAATGGCCATAGCCACAAGCACACATGCACTGTGGCCACGTCGACGTGGCAGTGGAAAAAGAGGAAGCCATATTACTACACACAGACCAAACACATGACTAAAACAGCACCACAGATTGGGGTTATAATTACAGTACACGTATGTTCGATGAAATATAACAGTTAATTTATAACAGCATACCAGATTAAAGGAATTTGTATTTAATTTATAACCACAGTTGATTGTTAACAGCATAATAGATTGAGTGAATAGGTAATTAAGTCATAACAATGATTTATTTTTCACAGCAGAGCATATACCTTTATTTTTCATGAAAACAATTGTGAATTTGTATGTTGTTTTGATAAGGACATTATTATGAAATTAACTCTAACAGATTTGCGCAATTCAAATTCACTACGTACAAATCAAATTTATAAGAACAGAGTTGAAAGGAAAAAAAAAAAACAAACAAACACACAGAGTATTGTATATGCCCAACCTAAGAAGATCTTTACACTTTAAAAAATAAACCAACAAATTGTATTTTCCTCAACTTGATTAGCCTCCAATCTTAAAATTGATCATCCTCCAATCTTAAAATTGGTTGATTTGGTAATTTTGCATCTTAACTCAAGTGTTTTCGCACTTGATTTGTCCATTAGTTTACACGTTTTTTTTGTCCATTAGTTTTCAAAATTTGTGTACATTGAAAAAATGTTAAATGAAAGAAGATTTTTTTTTATCAAATTAATAATTCATCAAATTTAAATTAAAAATTTTATTAAATTTGATGAAAAGAAAATTTTAATATATGAGAATAATTTTTAAAAAGATTTTAACAAAAAATTAATAAAGGAATTGAAATAATTCTTATCATGTCAAGTTTTTTATTTAAACTAAAAATCAAATTAGATAAAAATAGAAAAAAAATTGATGAAGAGTGAGAGATGCTCTAAACAATTAAATGTTTGTTTTAGTTTTTATTTAGATGGAAGAAAGAAAAAAAAGTGACAGTGAAATCTCTAGAAAAACCCAAATGAAGGAAGACCCAAAAAAAGGGAAATCACAAGAAGTCAAACGAAAACAAAACAAAAAAAATATGAAAACAAAAAACATGAAAGACGAAACCACAACAAAAGAACATATATGAAGTGGGGGATAATGCTCAGATTCTATAGGTGTAAATAGAGTCTGTTATGCAAAAGTTTGCATTCAGTACGATGAATTTACTTTATAATTAACATAGGACAACAGATTTTCTATGAGTATAAAAAAACTAATTTTAGCAGCACAGAGTAAAATAAATAAAAAAACAAAAAACAAAAAACAAAAAACAAAAAACAAAAAACAAAAAACAAAAAACAAAAAAAAATAGTACTGGACAACAGATTTTCTATTAGAGAAATTTTTTTACAAAAAATTTTGTTTGCTGAGCAAAGAAGAAACCAATAGAACACAAAACAAAAAAAAAAAATGTTTGCTGAGCACAGAAGAAACAACTTATACTTTTGTATTTTTTGTTGGACAAGAACACAAAAGAAAACCAGCAAGATCGGTGATTGAACCACCGAAGTTGGAACAAGAAATTTTTTTTTTGAAGGGGATTACATCATCATAGGTGCAGATCGGTGAAGAAAAAAAGAAAATACCATAAATATTTGCTAAATCATAGTAAGATCTGAAACAATGGGTTGAAAACTAGCAAGACCAAGTTCGTCAATGAAGAAGAAGCACATAAATTGGGTTTGGCCACCTAACCTGTCGTAGATCCTCGACAATCAGCTACATGGTCTTTTCACAACAGTTCTGCCGGAGTGAGCCGTCGGAGAGAGGTATTGTACCCTTTTGTGAAACCTCCAATTAGACCCAAAGTTTAAGTGATAAGATGAGAGATATGAGCACGTTTCCAAACAGATAGGAGCAACAAAGGGTAAAAATGCCTTTTTACCCAGATAATGCCATACAGTTGGATTGCAGCTCCATTACTTAGCTACAATGCGATTTTTTGAATTTATTTATTTATTTATTAATTTTATTTTATTTTATTTATTTATTTTTTCCGTTGGAGGCTAAAATAGCCTGCCAACCACGTTCCCAAACACCGCCAATATATTAATAGTTGTATGACAAATGTTATTAAATGCCCCTCATGCATTGTTTAATGTTGGGATTACAGTGAAAATTATTTTGAAAATAGTGAAAAAGTTAAAAAAATGTATTAAATTGAGTGAAAAGTGCTATAAAACTAAGGAAAATGTTACACAAACACACATATTATACGAACTCAATGTACGCACTGACATGACAGATACATGTCATTGTCCTGTGGGTCCACTAGAGATAATAAAGCATTCTCTTAGAGCAGGGTCCAGCTGTGGTGGACAATACCCAACTCCCCATCTCTCATTCTCACCCTCTCTCTCTAAGACCAGGAAGTCTCAGTCCTTCTCCTTTGGCAATCTTGGCCCTTTTCGTTTCACTCGCTGGTGAGGTCACGTCTTGTCCCAAGATATTTTTGAACACCCTTCTGGGTTTCTCTCTTCCTTAGACGATCTTGGCTTGCGATCTCTCCTTTTTCAGTCTCACCACTCACAAAACCCTAACACAAATCTCTGAATTTGTTTCTTAATTTCACACTCTAGCCCTCTGAATCTCTATTGTAAAAAAAAAAAAAAAAAAAAAAATGATTTGCAGAGTGTACAGATTTGCACTGTGTTTTTGTACACTGGTTCGTTGATTTATCAACATTACCCCATCCCTCCATTAATGTTGGAGCTAGTAAATAGCCAAATCTTCAACTCGTAGCTACCACTGGAGTTTGAATCGACTTTGAGGCGAGATTCGTGATTGATGAGACCAGCAATATTGGGCATTTTTTTTTTGTTTCTCTTTACCAGTTAACCAGAAACTGTGCATTTTTTTTCTCTTAAAAGTTGTTTACGTTTGTGTAGCTCGACTTTTTTGCACCCCCTTTCGGAAGCTAGAAAGAAGCCCTATAGTTCAGACTCCCGCGGTTCTAAATCTAATCTCACAAGTGCAGTATAAAATTGATAAACACCAAAGAGTCTAAATCCGAAAAATCTTTTGGAAAATCGATTTTGAGTCAAAAATGCCAAAATTGGACTGCTTTGCCAGATACAGAGTCGCCACCTAAATATTTTTTTTTGGAAAAATTTAGAAAACCCATTACTTGTGCCAAAGGCCACGTGTCCGTCGTTACCAAGATTGTCTTGGCTCAGGAACTTAGGTACGAGGGGGAAAGGTCATGAATTGAGCACTCCGCTCGCCCGATCAAAGATTGGCCTCTACTAATTATGATATGATTTTTATCAACATTATATGCTCTTGTTCCAGTTTATTAGGCTAGCATTACTACATGATGCGCACAAACAAGGTATAGACTAATTTGTCCGAATTGGAACAATTCAATTTCATGTTTGTTTTTCGAAAAGGGTTTGATTTTGCCACTTAACAAAGTAGGCTTAAAGTTTGTGAATTTGCCACTTGACAAAGTGGGCTTAAACGTACATTTATTGAATCATTCCAATTTGAGCAACAGGCCTTCATCCACAGGCATTCAAACAGTTATAGCAAGTAAGCACTTAGCCTCATGGCAGGCATGCTAATCATGGCAGTCACTCGCACTCATGCAAGTATGCCAAAGCATTAAAAACTCATCTAGTACTCCAAGCCAAAAAAGGAACTAGTTAGAAAAATGCATGATTCCTAACTTATGCAATATTCCTAATGCAACACATGCAATATGCAATTAGATAGGCTCGACAACTTAACATGTTATTTGCAACAATTTCATAGCATGCGTATAAACACGTATTCAGCGAGAAATGACAAGGAAGTTAGAATGACGAACCGAGCCTCTATGCATGTAAGACAAATGAATGGATGCAAGCAAGCGATATGCTAATTAAAACGTGATGCTCCTAATCTAACCATCAAAAACAGATAAAAAAAAGGGAGAAAGACGTGGGGTTAGAAGATATACATATTATTACATTACGCTCTCACGAAGAAGAGTCCAAATGAATAAACTAGCTAAGCTAAACTACTTAACTAATTATTACAAAACTTGAATGAATAATTAACTAACTATCTAAGCTAATTAATTAAGAATTTAACTAGGCTAAGCTAATTAAATATTACAACACAACTAATTAGCTACCACTAATTAAGTTAATTAAATATTACAACACAAACTAATTAGTTACAACTAATTAATCTAATTAAATATTGCAACAAATAAATGATTAATTGCCAATCAAACTAATTAACCATTCCCGGGAAGGGAAGGAGGCCCATGCATGCTTGGTTTTCACCCAAAGAACATCCACTGTCTGCCCCCGAAAGCCTCTGTTTGCACAACCCTTGCACTATTTTCCTTCTCCAGATCAACTCTGCCACGCTTCACAAGCACATTGCCCAAAATTCACTGGTGGCTAGTAGGCCAGAAGGGGTGGCCGACCGGCTACCATTGAGGGGTTGCCGTCCAACACTGGTGGCCGGCAGGCTAGTCACAGTGGCCGGTCGGCCACTGATGACACCATTTTTTGTTGCAACAGAGAGAGCAAATAGGGCAAAAAGAGGGTATTCTCACAGGTTGTTTGTACTGTGTATCCCTCCTTACCATCAAAACATCTCAAAGGAGTGATACACTTGGTCCTTAAACCATCAATCAAGCAATTTCATTGCATAATGGCTAAGGAATCAAGATGTACAAGTTACTAAATGCATAAACAAAACCAAAACCATCACCCTATCATGTATGATCAAGGGTAATGGAGACTTAGGAAACTTGGCACATTTCATCACTTTGAGTATGAAATGCCCAATTTTCCTTGTGTTCAATTAACGTCCGATTGAACACATCAAAACACAACCAATTTCTTATCTTGCACCATTTTAATTTCAACTTTTAGTTTCTCATTTTAATTACATTTCCATTCCTTAACCAATTAAGTCCATTGGTGAGTTGTCTTCTAAAGAGAAGGAAGTGTCAAACAAGGGGTAGTTTAAGGCAAGAGAGAGATGTCATGCCGTTAGTAATGAACCTCCAAAAGAGGATTAAACCATTAAGCATGGACCTCAATCTCAATCTTAAACGACCTTAAGGTTGAAACAACCCTCAATGCAAACAAAAAAAGTCAAGAAATGAGGAAGGTTGCAGAGATTAATGAGTGCTGAAATGAGGGGAGGCTAACCCCTCCAAATTTAGACTTCAAAACATGATTTTTACTACTGAAAATACTCTGAAATTCAGTGTTCAAAATCCTTAGAAAAGATGGTTTGAAAGTGGGAAACAAATGTGGAAAAGCCTTACAAGCAAGGAATAAAGAAAGGTGAGATACCCCCCTAACCTTAAATGGACTAAAACACCAATTTTAGCCCACAAAAACAAAGTATTTTATAGCCCCAAAACAGCCCAAAAATAGTGGAAAGAGATATAAAACAGGTATGCAAAACAAGTTTAAAAGACAAGTATTATACCTCTTGTAGCAAAGATCAATTCTGGCACTAATGCAAGCCAAAACTACCTTCAAGAGCTCCAAGAAGACTTTAAGGAACCTCAACTCAAAGATGATCAACTTTGGTTAAGGTGGTGTGGGCAAAAGTGTAGCGCATGTAAGCTAAAATGCACAAATTTGCAAGAGAGAGAGAGATTTTTGTTCGAAATTTTCTAATCCTAAAAAATGGGGAGAAAACCCATATATATAGAAAAACATGCATTTGACTGAGAGAAATCCCTCCATACATGTGTAGGGAGATGAAACCAATTGTGCCAACAGCTAGAACAGTTGTCACCAAAATATCTGCAAAAAAGACACTAGCGGCCGGCAGCCACCAGGTGTTGCAGGCTTGAAGGTTTTGGTCCAAAACTAGGCATAGAATGAACAGGGTGTGAATGCTCAAAGGTAGGGCATTCCGCTGAAGACTTCAGGCACTAAAATGAGCACATGCAAACATAATCATCGAGTGCACAAGCGATGACGTCCCAGTCTTGAGACGGTCAAAAATGGGGTGTCTACAGTTACCCCTCTTTGACAGAACTCGGAAGTCATGAAATGATGTGAGTAAATGTCAAAGCCCAGAGACAACCCATTTTGACAAGGCTGTAAGACTTGGACAAACAAATGAGACAAAGAACAGTTGCGTCCACAGCCTACCTATATATCCCTTTGCAAGGAATCAAACCAGCTTAGTTTGGGGGCCAGATGCAAGCGAGATGCATGATACAATAACATAACTTATGATCATGCAATGAGGCTGTGCAATGAAACATTGGAATGCAAATGCAATGCAAAGAAAATGCCACATTTGAACAAACCAAAACAAGGTACATCAATTCTAATCTTGAGAAGAAACAAGTAAGTAAATAATCATGTCACGCATGAGAATCACAAGCTAAACCACATTTCATACATAAAGGATGTAAGAAAATTATGCAAGCTTAAATACACGTTGTGTAGGAAAGGCGAAGGGCGACGTAACCGTTGGGCACACCCAAGGTCTCAATTGAGATCCTAACGTGTTGCACGCGTGAGGAGGAAGGGTGGTGTGAACACCGAGCACACTCGAATGTTTTTAACCGATTTGCAATCCTAATGCGTTGCATGCGAGAGGAGGAAGGGTGGTGTGAACACTGGGCGCACTCGAATGTTTTTAGTAGATTTACAATCCTGACGCATTGCACGCGAGAGGAGGAAGGGTGGTGTGAACACCAGGCGCACCCGAAAGTTTTTAATCAATTTTCAATCCTAACGCATTGCATGCTAGAGGAGGAAGGGTGGTGTGAACATCGGGCGCACCCGAATGTTTTTAACCGATTTGCAATCCTAACACATT